AAAGTAAAATATTTATATAAAAAAATATTTTTAAAAATCAATAAATATACAAGAATACGAAAAATGTATTGAATTCTTGTATTTTCTTTTATATTTTTGGTATTTAGTAAATTTTAAAAGGTTTTTTTTCACAAATTTTTTACTTTTTAGGTATATTATATTACGTATGTCTAAAAAGTAAAAAACTTAAAATATTAAAAAAATTCGGTAAAAACAAAAAAACACAGAAAACAAGAAAATAGAATTTTTTCAAAAATGTTTTTAAAAAAATTGGAACCAAGCAAAGTGATTGCTTTTCTAGAGATGATTTTCCTATATATTGCCGTTAATCAACATTAGATAAAGGAAGGAATGACAACCAGGAGACAATCTTATGGCCCTTTGAACTCACCTCACCCACGACGATAAACTCGAGATCTAGAGGTCAACCCCCTAAAGCCGAGCAAATAGAAAGAGATTCTCAATTGGCTAGTTTAGTACCTTGCTCTGTTCTGACATCGGAATTCCCCAAAAAAATCTGAATTTTAAAGGGAAAATTGATTGTCTTAAAGAAACAGTGAACATCCATACATTTAAAAACTCAAAGACAAATCAATCACAGTAAAAGGATTTCATGCTTTCGATAGAGAAAACATGACAGAAATGCAAATATTATATGTTCTGGTAAGCAGATCCATTTGAACATTTTTACTTGCTACAAGAAGAACATTCACAAACATCCACCTTAACAATGATCTACTTACTCCTTTTTTTTTTCTCACCATGTCTGTCACTTTCTTTTCAAATTCCCATCTCTCTCTACCTTGTAAACTTTATTACAATACTAAAAATTCAAGCCAAGCCCTTCACTATATGAAAGAGCAATTACCCAATAACTAAAACCCTACATGGTAGTCTAAGGATGAGGAAAATGAGGAGGTAAGGGAGGCATGGCTCCAAACATGGGATGGGGGAAGTGCACTGGTGGAGCCTTGGGGATGGGAGGTAGCTTAGGAAACAGTGGGCAAGGTATCTTGTGGATCTTTGGGAATGGATGGAGATGTTTGAAGATTGGTGGGAAGACCTTCGGAATGGAAGGAGGCTCAACAAGTGGTGGTTTTGGCTTGTAGATTGGGACAGACGGAGGAAGTGGCTTTGTGAATATCGGAGGATGCTCGAACATTGGTGGTTTTGGCTTGAAAATTGGAACAAGCGGAAGAAATGTATTTCTGTGTAGTGGAGGATGCTCGAACACAAACATTGGTGGTTTTGGGTTGTAAGCGGGCACATGCGGAGGAAGTGGCTTTTCATATATCGGAGGATGCTCGAACACTGGTGGTTTTGGTTTGTAAATTGGCACATGATGAGGAAATGGATTTCCAAATATAGGAGGATGCTCGTGTTGGAAATGGTTATAAAATTCTGGATAAAACCAGAATTTTTTCCTAAGTTCGGTCTATTTTTTAGGTGGGCCCCGAGTGTCGATTTACTCGGGTCAAAGTGGTAACACGTTCTATGCCGCGTTGTGATTCACGTGGTATATTTGGTTACTCAAAACCATTACCGAGTGAATGGGAAATTGAAGCCAAAGTGTACTCCATGAAAATGGAGTTTTGGTGGAAATTCCTTAAGGTTGTAAATTGGCTTGTCCCACATTGATTTGGTGGGAAGTTTTGAAAGGGTTTATAAGGCTTAGGGTGAGATACTTGGGGTGTGCCCCAAGGGGTACCCAAGTGTTTTAGAGGGAGAGGTTATGGGCAAAATGGGCTAGACCCATTGGACCCAAAAATCACCACACACGCGCGCGCCGCGGCTGCCAGCCGGGCTAGGCGCGGGTGCGTGGTGTGTGCTTCTAATCTTTTTGGGCCAAAAACATTTGAATTTAATTTTATTTTTTATTAAAATAAAATTCAAATTAAATTGGTTTGGATTTTTTGTTCATCCAAACAGGGCCCTTCCCGTTTTTAAACAGAAATAAACTGTTTTGGAATTAATGCACACCCAAACAGGGCCCTTCCCGTAATTACTATTTGTTTGAATTGTTGAATCTGTTTGAATTCAAAACCCAACAGGTATGATACCTGTTCAATTCAAAACCAAGAGCCACCTTCACATCTATAAATAGAACAAGAGCCACATACCTGTTCAATTCAAAACCAAGAGCCACATACCTGTTCAATTCAAAACCAAGAGCCACATACCTGTTCAATTCAAAACCAAGAGCCACATACCTGTTCAATTCAAAACCAAGAGCCACATACCTGTTCAATTCAAAACCAAGAGCCACATACCTGTTCAATTCAAAACCAAGAGCACTTAGTAAACAATTAAAAAAGGGTAAAATAGTTTTTTGAACATTTATAAATTATTTATAATTCGAAGAAATTAAATCAAGTAAGTTATTTAATTTATTTTCAGTGTTGTTTTTATTTATTAAAATCAGATTTAAATTTTGTTTTTGTAACAAAATAAAATCTGTTTTTATTTATTTATTTTTATTTCGAGTTTGATTTTTGTAATCAAACAAATTCTCTCCTTTTCTTTATTTCTTTAAATTCTAATTGTTGTTGTGTACACAATAGAATTAAATCTTTTAAATACAGTGAAGATTGTCCAACAGCTCGAACACTGGTGGTTTTGGATTGTAAATTGGCACAGGCGGAGGAAGTGGCTTTACATATATCACAGGAGGCTCGACCACTGGTGGTTTATAAATTGGCACATGAGGCTCGAACAGTGGCGGTTTTGGTTCGAAAAATGGCACATGTGGAGGAAGTGGCTCTTTGTATATCGGGATTGGAGGTGGAAGCGGTTTCACATAAACAGGAACAGGCGGTGAAAATGGCTTGTGTATTGGGTGGAAGAACTTGGGATGAAAATGGAAAGGGTGGCTAAAGTTCATCAATGGTGGATGTTTGGGGAGAGGTGGGTGCATGAAGAAATGCCACAAGAAGGCCGAAGTGCATGTCGCCGGGGAGAATTTGAGTATTCCAGCAGGGTGTTTTCTGGCGGTTTTAGACTTGAAGACGATCTTTGAGGACTCGCTGCTGCCACTGTGGGCTGGGCATGGTGCAGCTGATGCACTGTGAAGCTGTGCAAAGCACTCTTCCTTCAAATTTCCATACTTTTCTAATATGTTTGAAGGAAGAGAGACTCTGAATTTTCCTTCATCATCAAGCTTTCCAACTCCTCTTGTTTTGAGCTCTCCATTTGTGTCCTTGCAGTCTATGGTGACATGGAGACCTGTACAAAGAAAAAATCAAATTAATGATCATAATCTCAATAGTTGTTAAGTTTCTCTTAAAGAGTTGTATTAATAGTGATAAGACTACAGTTCTGCTGCAAGACCAAGAAAACAAAGATGAGTCAAAGATGAGTCAGCTATTGCCCCATCACAGCAGAGCAGAGTACATCGACTCTCAGCATCTCCAGCAGCACCAGATTAATTCTCATCCATCATAACTAACTACTAACTACTTACTGTTACAGAAGTTAGTTAGGTAACCTTTCTTAGTTAGGATCATAGTTATGTTAACCGTAGTTGAGTTAACAGTTGTAACCAACTTCTCTATAAATTGTAATAGTTTCATATGAATGGGTAGTGGAAAAAAAGATTCAAATTCAAAATATTCTTTAAATAGTAGTTGTCATTTGTTGGGACTAATTGGCCCAAACGCAACAAAAATAATTATTCATTTGTTTGGATCCTATGTATGTCCCACACAAATAAATGATATGAATCTGAGGTGTTTAGAATTTATAATCTTTATTGCACATAATAATCAATATCCCTCTCCTGTAGACAAGCATATTATTAAAGAACATATATTTAGCATTCTATGTATTTGTTTTATTTTTCTGTTAACGGTTTTGTGAATTGAAATTATGCCATTCTTTCATAACATATATGATGATAAAACCATGGACCAACATATTTGTTCTCTCACTCCCCAAATGAAGTGACACATAACCCTCCCCAACATCTATAATAATGAAGACACTTGGAATTGTGAATGATGTATTTACTTGTATAGAAATTAATCACCAGATCAAATACAATTATCTTATATGAGTGTAAGACTTACAAAAATATGAAATTTACCTCATTTAAAAAGATGGGACATTTACACACAAGTCTTAATTTATATACTTCTATTTCATTGAGTCCTAATTAAGATTTTTTAGACCTTTCAGTCTCATTAAATTTTTAATAGTCGAAATTGTCTTTCAAACAATGATTGTTTATCATTTATAATTATCTATAATGGAACATGATGATTTGATATTTATTTTGATTTTCAAAACTTTAAAACATCAATTTTCAAATTGAAAAAACTAAAAAAAAAATTATGTGCAAGCTTGTTTGGTTCTGTTTTTCAGAAAATAGTTTTCAGAAAATTCTACTTTTTTATTTTCCGTAGTTTAATGTTTTCAATGAATTTTTTTAATATTTTAAGCAATTTTTTTTTTTAAGTTTTAGACACACCTAACATAAATACATTTAAAAAGTATAATATTTGTGATTTTTTTTTAAAAAAATACACTAAATATCAAAAAATATGAAAAAAATACAAAAATTCAATACATTTTTCGTATTTTTATGTATTTATTAATTTTTAAAAATATTTTTCACAAATATTTTACTATTTAGATACATTTAAGTAAGGTGCATCTAAAAAAGTAAAAAAGTTGCTTAAAATTTAAAAAATATTCACTATAAACAAAAAAAACACGAAAAACAAAAAACTCAGTTTTCAGAAAATTTTGAAAAAATTGAAAAAACTAAATTATTTTTTTGTGCAAAGCTGAAAATTGTGTGTCTATAAAGGAGCATGATGATGAAACATTGACATGTAAAAAAAAAAAAAACCTTAAAAATGAAAAAAATTATAATGTTCTCAGTTTTAAAACTGCAAAAAGTGATAATATTCTCAGTTTTATTGGATAATTGAATCAAACCAATAACTAGAGGAGCAAAACATTTAATCTCTCATACTCTGTTTTTTTTTTTCATCAGTTAGTGAAACAATTATCTGAAATATTATTATGCAAAATTGATAATGTTTTTAGTTTTAAATTGGAAAAAACTATAAAATTCTCAGTTTTACTAAATAGGACTTATTGGTTCAAAAAATCTTAGATAGGACCTAAACTACTATAGCATTTGTAAATAGAATTTTTAAGTAATTAACTATAAAAAGATTGTTTCCGATTTATTTATTTATTATCTATTTCTATTTTAAACCTTTTTAGGAAAGAATGTAACAAAAAAGATGGTTAGCATAGTAGGTAATGCATGGCAAGTGGAGACTGAAATCTCTAAAAACACAATTTTTTCATATAAAAATCACTACAACATATAAGAGTTTTAGAAATCAAAAATTTTAGTATCTAAAAGTGAAAATTTTGTTTCAAAAGACATTTAGAGACCAATTCTATCGTCGTAAGGATAGTCGCTAAAAGGTCGTCTCGAAAAGTTAAAAACAAGACTTTTAGCGACAAAATTTTGAAAATATCACTAATAAATAAACTTTTAGAGACAAAATAATTTGGTCTCAAATAGTTTATTTTTTGAGGCAAAAAATTTGGTCCGAAAAGGATAATAATTCATCATTAATTTTCAATCTTCGTTGCTAAAAATATAATAACAACACTTTTTGTGACAAAAATATTTGACTCCTAAAAAATAATGTTGTCTTTAAATTTTAATCTCTAAAATTTTAATTTTTTGTAGTGAATATAGAAGAAGAGCAATGTTATACATAATCATATTTTTATTTCATTTTTTCACTGGTAGACACAAAGTAATGTAGCTTACATCAATAAATGCACATGGAACGCACTCATTTGTGTTTAGGAGTAAGAAAAAGAGCAATGGCTCCTCTCCGTACCCCTCCATATTTCATTTTGTGGGTTCATTCTAAGCCACAAATGATGATCCGAATTGTTCATCTCGTAAATCTCGCAGTAAAAATCATATATGCAAAAACCAACTTCATTGGACATCGATGAATAGATAAATAAATCGCATTTTATTTTATAAAATAGACTGTCTAAGTTTAAACTCATCGATGCCAACTAATTTAAAAAAATTTAACATAATTTATTTATGTGTTTAATGATATCCAATAAAATTAATTTTTTATATAATTATCTTTACAACTAAATTTACGAGATGAATTATTCGAATTATATGTAACATTTTTTATTCAATAATGTAGAATTGACCGTGCTATATTTATGCATTATATACCTGAAAAGGCTTGGCTAGCCTGAATATTACTGTCGGCACAATCTGTACATTCTCCAATGCCAACTACCTCAAGTACTATCTTATCATTGCCATGGCAGAAGCTCACAGCAAAGAACGAAAACACCCATAAACCCAGAAAAGCCCCTCCATAAAGGGAACAAATCTTCATTGGAACTCACCCTAATGCCTCCCCTAGACACTATGAAAAACTGGAAAGAAAAAGAACAAAAAAAAAACTATGATGGACAAGCTTGAAGCTTGAGAAGCTGTGATTTAGCTTTCCTAATGTCTTCAAATGGTTTGAGTGAGTTGAGTGACAAAGACACTGTTTATATATGCATAATGATGCTTAAGGGAAGTAATGTGGGTTTAAGTGGCTCAACTACTTACACTTAAGAGCCTCACAGGTGGCACTGTTGGGTTAGTTACACATTTGAGGTTTGTAACTGCTATTTACAATTTTTTTTTTTTTGGAATATTATTCTGAAAGTGAGTTGTGCAGTGTAAATTTAAAATTAGTGAGATGTGAGTCATACTCAGAATAATTGTGGTCTATCTATAAAATTATTCCAAAAAAGTAAGGTGTTTGTTATTGATTTAAAATGCGACTTAATTGAAATTTCACTTTAGTTCTTATAGTTTCAATTTAAACTTTACTGTTTTGTTGTAATATGGTTCCTCTGCCACTTATCTATAAAATTTTGAATAGAAAAAGATCACATACAAAATTAGAGAGACTAAAGTGAAATTCAAAAGAATTATAGAAACCACTAGTGTAATCTAGAAAGCACGGATACGGATACAAGGTACAGATACGATACGATACGATACGGATACGACGATACAGCAAAACCTAAAAAAGTAGGATAAAGGTACGGCTAGGATACATTTGTAAAAAATAATAAATAAATAAATTATTAGCAGTGAGTTACATATAAGCTCAAGAATGTTAAGAAACCACAGCAACTTTATGATGCAAAATACTAATCTTTAAGAATTAGGTATTAATTTAAGGCATTAGCTTGTATCCACAACTTGACCCTATACTTTTTCCTTTTGCAGTAGTCAAAAATATTCTATGCAAGTTTATTTGCTTATTTATTGATTGATATTTAATTTTACTATTATAATATTATCTTATTAATCCTTACTTCTATGTAGTTACAGAGAACATATGCATGATACAATAAAGATATATCAATTTGATAATTTCTATTACTTTAGCTTACTATGTTATTTTTATAAAAAAAACTAAGCAAATTATTGTAAAAATATTCTATTTATCCTCGCAATTATATTATATTATGATGTTATGCATGAAATGATACAATTCTAATTTTGTAAAAGGAGTAATATGTGACTTGGAGCATTTGATATTTCAAAATTAATTAAGAAGTATCTGATAATATGTGACTTGGAGTATCTGATACTTTTAATAAGTATCTGATACGTATCCATAAGTATCCAAGGAGTATCGGTATCCGATACGGATACGATACGGATATATCTTCCTATTCGAAGTATCCGTGCTTCATAGAGTGTAATTTATTCATTACACTGATATTCCTTATAATTTCTTTTGAATTCTACTTTAATCTTTCTAGTTTTGGACGTAACACTTTTTCCATTTAAAATATTAACGGCACATAATAGAGAGATTACATTGTAACAAATTTGAAAATGTAGGATTCAAATTATTAAAATTAAAATCATATAGACTACCGTTAAACATCATTCAAACTAGACCTACCAACAGTTATATTCAGAATCATTGTATTCCATAAACGTATTTTTTTAAATAAATTTTTAAGTAATTTTTTGAAATATGTAATATTGTTAAGGTTTACTTGTGCTCACTACTCACCTGGGAAAGCCGTTTCTTTCATTGAATGCGTTCACTCTCTCTCTATCTGTCAACCTACTTCCAAGCTCCGATCATAAATATGAAAACGAGGATTAGGATTCCTTTGAGGGTTTGGTAAAAAATTAGTTTGTTGGTGAAATAAGTTAAGAAAAAAAGTTAATGCCAAAAAGAGTTAATTTATGAGTAATTACCTAAAAGTCTTATTTACAAATGTTATGGTAGTTCAGGTCCTATGTAATATTTTTTGAACTAATAAGTCATATTTAATAAAACTGAAAATATTATCAGTTTTTTTCAATTTTTAAAGTTAAGAACATTATCAATTTTATATTATAATGTTTCAGATAATTGTTTTACTAACTGATGAAAAAAAAAAACAGAGTATAATGTTTTTGTCCTTCTACTTATTCATTTGATTTAACTATCCAATAAAATCAAGAATATTATCAATTTTTTTTAGTTTTAAAATTGAGAATATTATCAGTTTTTTCATTTTAATTTTTTTTTTTTAGTTTTGCACATCAATGTTCCATCATCATGCTTTTTTATTAACACAAAATTTTCAATTTTGCATAAAAAAATAATTCAATTTTTCAGTTTTTTCAAAAACAACACTTTGCTTGGTTAGAGTTTTTCAAAAACACTTTTCAGAAAATTCTACTTTCTTGTTTTCCATGTTTTTTTTTGTTTTTACTGAATTTTTTTAATATTTTAAGCACTTTTTTTAGGAAAATTTGGCTATAAACCCCCTTTACCTTCCTTTCATTGTTAAAAGGACTAAGAAAAAAATTATACTTTTTAAACCCCCTCATAATTATAAAGTCTTGTATAAAGGACAAAATTTATTATTTAAATATTTTATTAGACTATTATACCCTCAACTAAATTTTTCCACCTTCTCCCTCCACTCTCTCCCCACCTTCTCTGTCTCTCTCCTCCCTCTCTCCCTTCTCTAACTCCTTCAAGCTTTAGATCTGGAAGCTCAGCTACCGCCTCTGGAACTCCTGCGTCGATCTCGCCAACGCTGTCGGCGTCTGATCCTCTTTTGCCACTCCCTCCGGCGAACACGCCAAGCTCTGCCACGTCTCCGCTGATTTGCTCTTCTTATGTATATGTGTATGTATGTATTTATATATATGTGTGTGTGCATGTATGTATGTATATATGACTCATATATACATATGTATATGTATATGTATATATATCAGTAAGTGAGTGTATGTATGTATATTACGTGATATTTTTTTTAAACATAGATCTGAGTTTTGAATATGTATGTATATATATATATATTTGTGTGTATGAGTGTTGTTGAGCACATGTATTCTTTGAAATCAAAAGATAGAGAGATATTTGGATGTGTTATTTGAAATGGCCACCTCAATCAGATTATGATTATGTTGATATTTGGATGTTTTTGTTTAGTTTTTGATCTGTGTGTTTTGTGGTTATATATCCTTGTAATATAGATTTATGTTTTTACTAGTTTTTTAATTGACCTGCTCATACTCAGCTTGTTCAATGGATGATCGATCTATTAAAATGGATGATCTATTCAATTTCTCTCTCTTTCTCTCTCTCTCTGATAAGAATCTCTCTAATAAGAATTTCACACAGAAATTTTACTAATCAGAGTAAAGTTTACTCTGAATCAGAGTAGAATTTTACTCTGGTTAAAAAATGTTGATTTGCTTAAAAATATAAAATTTTACTTTGAATCATAGTAAACTTTACTCTGATTCAGAGTAAAATTTTACTCTGAATCAGAGTAAAGTTTACTATGATTCAAAGTAAAACTTTACTCTGAATTTTTACTTTGATTAAAAAATATGTTGATTTTCTCAGCAACCAAACTATATTTGGTTTTCTTGTTATGTTTCTGTGATTTTCTCAGCAACCAAACACACAAGGTTATTAATACATGATACTTAGTGTGATTCAAAGTGGATACTCTCCTTAAATCATAGTAAAATTATACTTTCAGAGTAAAATTTTACTCGGTTAAAACCATGTTGATTTGCTTAACGATATAAATTTTACTTTGAATCATAGTAAATTTTACTCTGATTCAGAGTAAAATTGTACTTTCAGAGTAAAAATTTACTCTGAATCATAGTAAAATTTTACTCTGGTTAAAAACATGCTGATTTGCTTAACAATATAAAATTTTACTTTGAATTATAGTAAACTTGCCGATCAAAAAAAAAATAGTAAACTTGACTCTGATTCAGAGTAAAATTTTACTTTGAATCAGAATAAAATTTACTATGATTCAAAGTAAAATTTTACTCTAAAATATACTGTGAAGATGGTTTAATAGGAGAGCTAATAAATATGAGGGTGGGTAATATAGTAAAGAAACAAATTTTAAAATATTAGGGGGTTTTGAAAGTACCTATATAATTCTTGTCCTTTTGAAAGACAAATTAGATAGTGAGGAGTCTATCACCAAATCCCTCATTTTTTTAATTTTTAGACATACCTAACATAAATATACCTAAAAAGTAAAAAAATTGTGAAAAAAACTTTTAAAAATTCACTAAATACCAAAAATACTAAAAAAATACAAGAATTCAGTACATTTTTTTATATTTTATGTATTGATTAATTTTTTAAAATATTTTTTCATAAATTTTTTACTTTTTAAATACATCTAAGTAAGGTGCATCTAAAAAAGTAAAAAAAATGTTTAAAATTTTAAAAATATTCACTAAAACCAAAAAACTCAGTTTTCAAAAAACTTAATCAAAAAACCAACCAACACACTTTCCGTTTTTTTTATTTTTTTTCAACTTGAAAGTTGATGTTTTAAACTTTTGAAAATCAAAATAAATGTTAAATCATCATATTCCTTTATAGATAATCATAAATGATGAACAATTATTGTTTGAAGGGCAATTTCAACTATTAAAAATTTAATGGGACTTGAAAGTCTAAAAAATCTTAGTTAAGACTTAATGAAGCATAAATTCATATATTAGAACTTATGTGTAAATCTCCTTTAATTAGCATTTTTTAAGTTTTTTTATTGTGAATTCAGAGTGATTAAATTTGATTTTTTGGTGGAAAAAATGTGTTTCAAATAGGGGATGACAATTTGCCCTGCCCGCATCCCCCACCTCGTCCCGGTTCGTGCGGTTTTCTTGCCCAGATAAGAAAATTGGGAGGGGACGATATTTGCTTCCCGTGCCTCATTTTTCTTGTTCCCACCCCGATTTATTAAATAAATAATTTATATATATGTATAATTTAATTTGTTAAATATAACAAGTGTAACATATTAAAACATTTATATATATCTCATT